TTTATCAAAGTTAGCAGCCTCTAATTACCACCTCCTTTGATCCCTACCGCATCCTTTAGAAGCAAAAATTCCGAAAATCGACTCGGAAATGAGGTCCACCTCTTCTTTTTATCATAGTTGCCGTAGTTCTATGAGAATGGAAATGAGAAGCTGTGCAAAAGAAGGGCACTAGTCCTAGTCATCAACTGCGGTTACCTTGTAGATTGGAGGTGTCTTTTAGTGAAGGAAAAATTTAGTCCGAAAACTTGGTCAAAGTGTCGCAGGACTTTCCGTCCAACCTAATATAATAAATCAATGAAATCTCGGAAAATGGATCCGGTCCCATGCCCTACCTGCGCCTGTAGAAAAAGAAAGTCCGGAAAGGTTTTGAATCTTATGGTTGTTCGCGCTCCTTTCCTCTCCTTTGTAATAGGACTCACGAAGTCCTGAAACATAAGATGTCTTTCCGAGTCTATCGAAGAACAAGAACGTAAAAAGCAGTGCAAAGCAGAATTCTGAAGAAAGGAACCTCAATCGTTTCTGGTTCGAACAGCGCGTGGAGGCAGTCTGTTAGTGCAACAGTGGAGCGTTGACCTTCTCCTTCTCCAGCCCTAATTGCTGCCTCAAATCAACAGGTTAAAAAAAGTGAACACTAGGCAGCATTGAGAAACAGACCACCTTCGGAACCGGTACAGCCAGCACTGTTTCTTCCCTATCCGTGTACCGTACCATGGAAGACGCAATATCCTCGAATCTGCTCTCCATCTTAAACCTGAAAAAGCACAACGGTTAGTATGTTCGGCAGACATTCATAGGATTGCAGTGACAAAAATAACTCACTTCAACGAAAACGTTGGATCGTGGACCTCGACCGGTGTGTTCGACGAGATTTTATCCAGTAAAAACCTTAACAACGAGATGGATAGTAAAAAACGATCAAAACGTTGCGTGAGCTGTGAACTTTCGAGCTATTTCGAACTAATGAAACAAGCGCAAATGTGATAAAAAGGAATTTGTTGCTTGCTACAGAAAGATGAGGCGGAGGTGACAAACTGCCCGCTTATCACGCGTGGATAAAACCCGGATCGGCTCCCGCTTAGGCCAACCAAGCCTCGTGCCTTACGCAGACGGTAATGCCAGGTTCGACTGGGAGGATAAAAGACTGACTGGAACATCGGCTGAGATTGACCCACGGTGCTGCACCGAAATATTGCAAGATAAGATATTTTAAAAAACTTTTGAGACTTTGCTGTCTTTTGAGTTTTTGGAATAAACTTTTGGAGTTTCACATTGTTATACACATTCAGATGAGTAATGAGACTCCGGGACAGCACCATACTCCGAAGAAAAAGTTACCCAACTCCAACCCCAAGGCGGATGGGTCACCTCAAAAGGGGAAAAGTCCATTGAAAAAATCCACAAATGACTTCAACACATGGAGGAATAAGGTCCAAGGGTCATTTGAGGAGCAACGCATTCACATCTCATGTCAAAACAATCGCAAACTTCCGCGAAAAAAAAAAAACACGATCATGGAAGTCTATCGGCTGGGCAGTATTTTTTTGTTGCGATTTGTGTAGGTGACAGGCAACCACAATAAACAAAGTCACTAGTCAAACAAAAACAACCATCAATACGAAATTGAGAACGGTTTCTAAGTGATACATATTGGAAAAATAGAAATGGGTAAACATAAAGGATGAAGTATTCACCGTTGACCAACCCCTTTCTGAGATGGGCATGCATTCTACTTCCATTCAGAATCGTAGTGGCTTGCTGAATCCGAAATGGCTTTTACAATAAGTGTGAGGGACATACGATGTACAAGTCAGTGTTACCCTCCCAGACGAATCTGGCATCATTTCGCCATGCTAGGAGGGTAGAAAGGTTGGTTCTCCTCAACGAAATTGAAACCGATCCAGGATTCAATCCCCGGACTGGGTGCGTGCAACTTGCCGCTCACCGTCTCCACCTAATTAAACGGAAAAGGAAAAATCAAGTTTGAAAATAAACAAAAAAGAGGCTAGAAAAGCAAGCTGCTTCAACCACGGGGAAGGGCGCTTCGGAGGAGAAGATGTCAGAAATCCGAATAGCGATTACCAAATGAAAAGTTAAACAAGAAATAGCGCCACTTACTGACCCTAGAAAAGTAAGAGTCGTCACTATACCTACAGAGTTATCTATCAACATTTGTCATGGAGTTACCTGATGTATTCTTCAGCATCTTGCTGCCGACTGGAGGAGAATTCTGGATGATTACCAGCTACAACTCGTTTGAACTGTGACGGCTTGATACCATTCATGTTGCTGTTCTCCTAAACTCATTGCGGATCTAGAGAGGAAAATCTCATCGAGCCATGAAACCTGCACACTTGAGCTCAGAGTAATTGACAAAGAATGTCGATTAAAACAATGTAAACAAACCACCGAATAATCTCCACTGGCCATTGCCGAAGAACAACTTAGCCACTTGTGCGTTGAAGTCATGGTGTACCTTAACATTCGATGATTCTTACCCTACGTCTCTAACGGAAAAGTTCGGAGCAAATGGTATACAAGAAATGATAGACCGTAAAAAATATAGGCAAGTATCGAATCAAAAACCTACTTCAAGAGGAGGTACTCTAGCTAATATGGGGCCGGCGCCGTCGACAAACCTGGTTACAAATGACGGAACAACTACTAGAGATTGCAAAACCTAAAGGAAAAATCATCGAAATAGTGAATTCAGGCAAAAGGAAAGGTCATACCGAATTCATATAACAGCTGGATCCAAGATTGATCAAGCCTGTGTAACCAGGACCGAAAATGTTTTCCAAACTTGCACCATCTTCTTGGCATTTTGCCCACTCCCATCTAAAACATGATGGTCCGCAAATTAATTATAAGCGACGTTATGCATATTATGAAGCCCGCACTGACTTTTGGTTCATGTCCAGCTCCAATTCCAATGTGCTCTTTTCCGTCTTTTTCAACTTTTTCGGATCAATTCCGAAATGGGCTAGATGCTTCTCTAAATTGGGATCGATAACAGCGTCATCCTCATCGTAACTGGAAAAGTTCAATATAAGAAGTGAAACAAGGCAAAATAACGAAAGAAAAATAACTCCCAACCTGAAAACGTCTGCAGTTCCATCACTTGAAATGGTGCCTAATTTAACTACCAAGGGGTATCTGAAATGGGTTTGGACACGAATGGAGTCGACACTGCGAATTTAACAAAAGCATACCCAGTGGCGTCGTAGTACTGCTTCATGTGATTGTTTCCCTTGCACATCTGACCTTCTGCGACAAACTGACTTCGACCACATCTGATCGCACCATCGGTCAAATTTAACCATAAGTTTTCGTTCATAGTGCAACCATCCGCTTCACAAGTCCAGCCACTCATTGGAATCTCAAGCATGAATCACTCTCTCTTTTTAACAACAATGGTAATGCAGTTTTCAACTTCCGAAAATGTCGCAATACCAAGGCGATTATTTCACTGGTCAACAAGGGGCTTCTTTCGGGTCGTGGATCCCATTCTCGAAACAGTTCCCCATAGGTCGTAGAGGTTCATGCAGAGACCTCAAAAGTGTAGTTCATTTTCGCTGTGCGCTTCTGGAAATGCCTAGAAAGTTGGAAAAGATTCAAAGAGTACTACGAAGTACGGACAGGAATACACTTCGGCATTCTGGACAAAAGATTCAAGTGTTTTTGGGCACATTTTTGTTCACGCAAACGTTTCCGACAATGAACACAAGTAAATGTAAATTGTAAAGTGAAGGGAAACAAAGTTTCGTCTTTCAGGAGGTTCGTTAATTCTCAGAAGCGCACAGCAAGAGTGAGCCACACTTTTGTGGCCCCTACATGAGCCTACGAACATCCAACCAATCGTTTTGAAAAGGGGCCCTACGGCATGAAGGACCCCCTTGTAAGAATCGAGATTAATAAAGATACTTAAGCAATACACGACTGCGCGCTTATTAGCACTTTTACGAATGCTCGTTCTTCCAAGCGTATGTTTAGCAAGAACAAGAACGATTCCAGATGGAAATCCCTCTCAAATGCTGCTGAAATATCAGCCAGGAAAGAACTCAAACTGCTACATTTATGCCAATTGCAAGGTGAGGTGCCGAGAGGTTCTGCTAAACCTACGCTTGGAAGAACGAGCATTCGCTATCCTTTTATTACTTGGTGTTATTCTAAACCCACTCCAACAACCTATTAAAATGTAGCCGAATAGCTCATGTTCACAAAAACTGCATATGACTCACGATTTTCCCATTTGATAACTGGTCCAGGTTTGCATGTTTGGTTATTTGTTTAAGCTGAAACATAGATAAAAGGAAAAAGAAGTGATGTAAACAGAAAAATCGGGATATATGCTCAGTACCTCTCCGTCCCAAGCATTGCTAGCACTTTGTAGCAACGCTATTCGCTCCGCACTTGTGGCAGCAATCACGTACTGGCATGTTCTGCAATAATAAATAAGTGCTTAATGATTATTAGATCGTTAATTTGAAATTTGTGACATCCACACACACACCCATATAAATCTGCACCAAGTTTTTCATCAATTGCACATTTGGCATTAATGTGTGGGAACGAGACCAGAGAATATGTGTCTTGAACATCAAATCTGAAACACGCTTCATCAATAAAACCTATGTGAGTTCGGAAAGCTTGCAGTAAAGTCTTACTTCTGCTCGAATCCCGTATCAATAGCAAGACGCGTTATCTTGTCCTTTGGCTCACCATCGGATTCTTCTTCGGACTCAAGATTAACCTAGACGTTCTAGAATCTCTGCGAATTGAGAAAACATAACTGATTGGGTGAAAGTTAAAACGAATTGCTAGTCAAAGGGAGTCAAAATATTCAAGTTCAAAGCAAGACTTTGACTTTGACAAGGGACAGAACCCCTACGTATCATCTCACCTTTTTACTGAAGATATGAAGAAATAAGGTGTTTCGAGACTGCTCTGCATACAGCCCTACATGGGTGAAGCAAAAGCAGGCATAGGTTTTCAGGCACACGAAAAGACCACCTGCAATCGAATATAATCAGATCAAGTCCCCAAACACTTTAGGACCGCGCCCACATCCTGCGACACTGAAGAATCTGAGTATCGCGAAACTGCGATAATCGGCGAAAAGGAGTAGATAAGTACCGACTGATCCCTGATTCTCTTAATCAATACGTATACTATATTTTTCGCTGATTCTGCAGTTTTCCGTTACAAAACAATACAGCAATTCTCTGCAAGATCGTTCAAGTTTATTCTCTGCAAGATATGAGCCTATCCAATCATTAATCACAATGCTTGAGAATTCGTTATATACAGAAATATTTTTGCCACCGATAAAACCATCCTCCACATACAGCTGCGGAAAAAACTTGGAACAAGCCTGAAGCTCTTATTCAACAGCAAAACAGCGGAAAGGTAAGCAGATAGCGAGAACTCAAGATAACAAGAAGAAACTATTCAGAAACTACTTAATTTGGTTTTCTTAAATTGGACTTGATTGGAGCCTTCACCATCCGTGTAATCGACTCCACAGGAGCTTCGGGCGCATCAACGGATATTCCGTTCTAAATCCCCAAAATGGAGGGAACTGCTCACTGCGTTGGTGATCTTTTTTGACACATGTCAAGTCACCTCAAAGATGCCTGATGGGGTTGAGCTGGAGACTTCACTCAGTAATCCTGGAAATTACATGCCGGAACCAAGATCTCACATAGTTCTGCGTTTGCTTAAGATCGTTTCTACTGATCTATGAACAGTTCTTCCAGGCATACCTTATGTACCTTATATATCCACGTTTTTTCGGTACAAAAGTTAAGGGAAGATTAACCAGATCTCACAACATTAATTCCAAAGAGCCGTCAGAGTTTTAAGACCATGTCTCGAAAAAAAAAAGGACCTAGCGCCCACAGCTCTGCCTGCCCCATTATCTTAATGAAACGTAAGAAAACCACAAGGTGTCTCTTTGAGTAGGATGGAATTTCCGAAAAATAATGACATTTCATTGACCAAAAAGAATAGTACTTTAAATTGTGAGCCAAGAAAGACAACAATAACAATTGTAAACGAACGCCTTCATCTAATAGTAGTTACTAAATGGTCACATACCTGGAAAGAAGGGTGTTCGGAAGCAGTATGTGCATTCCTCTTTGAAAACTTTTGTAGCGATATCTGGCACAGTGAAAGACGATTCCTTGAGGCTAGCTCGAAAACGTTCAGGACAAACCGGTTCTTCGGCATCTTGTGGGACTGCCATTGACCTCTAGGTTCACCCTGCAAGGTAACTATGGATACATGTTAGGCAATAAATAATCACATAGTTAGCTCACAACACTGTACAAAATCGAATTTTGTAAGTAACAGAAAAAGGCTCCATATTTACTGCACAAGTACGCAAATGCCTCAAAAGAAGTCCCTGATTTGTTATCAAATATTTCGGTGCTTAGCATTTTCTTCAGCGACCCGAAGCGACCACTATCAGTACGGTTTCTTGAGTAAACACCGAACCAGCGCCCATCCGGATCTGTCTCCTATTTATTTATTTATTTATTTACAATGCATTCATAGGACACGCTATAGCGTCAGTAGGTGCCCCCCCCTTGTGGGAAAGAAAAACTGAACAATCAACCCACTGACAGCACAAATCCAAGGGGTTCATAACCGCTTCAATGGTTAGTAAAAAGAGACCGACAATATTCAAAGGGAGAGGACTTCGTGTTCGGCTCACGTTTGTTACTTAAACTCGTCTTATTCGCTCAACACTTTCTATAGACCCAGCCAATCCTCTCGGAAGGGTATAGTTGAGAATCGTTAACGAGTAAATGTAATTTTTCTTCGCTGCCAATTTCCCCAATGATCGTATCGTATCGGTAAGTAACGAGAACGATCGTTGCTCACTAATTATCCGTGTTTGGTACATTATCCTATTATATTAGTTGAATAGGAACAAAAAAATTCGAACAAATCTAAGAAAAGAAGCAAGCAGACGTCTAAATTGTCAGCTGAATTACAAATCAAAATGGTTACGTGACAACTCGTCCGATGCCTGCTTTTGGCACCGATGATTTCCCTCCATCGAGCGCTGCCCTACTTTAATGAACAGTTGAACTACGCTCTGTTTCTTCGTTTTTTGACCAAGCAAAAAAGAAAAGTAGCTCCTCTTCCTGGAATTATGCGGGTTTTCAATTTGCTAGATATTGAAATTGCGAAAAACCTCACGGAAAATAGTGCCACGGATCTTTCATGAAAAAACAGAAAAGAAGTGTGCAGAAGTGACGGGTGAAATTCGAAGCTCTTTAAAATATTCGAAACGAAAGCCTCAAAAATTTTTGTACGAGTTGTACCATGATTGGCGACGGAGCGCATCATTGTCACGTTCGAATTTTTCAAATTAGCGGCTTAGAAAAGGGGTGCTGGATCATTGCCGAGGTAGTTCAACCTCACTTTTTGGTTTTTCCTTTCGCTTTTGTTTCATAGATTACATTTTTGCCTTTTGCATAACGATTCTGGGCTCTGGTTCACTCCTGAATGTTCTATCTTTAATCATTCTTAGAAGAATGGCATTAGCGGCATCGCAGCCTCCATACTGGCGTTCGTCAAAGGCAGATGAGTACAGGGAATTGAATCTGCTTGGAAAAGGAGCCTACGGTGTTGTCTACCATGTAACTCACACCCCGACCATGAATGAAGTATGTTTACTCTTGAAAACTTCTTTTCCATAATATCACGTCGGAAATGCTTCACTTACTGTCCCATAACGTTATTACTCGAATTTCAGTATGCACTAAAGAAGATTGTAGTGGGTGTGAATGACGACGGAGTCCCTCAAAGCGTGCTGCGCGAGATCTCGAGCATGATGGCGCTCAGACGATTACGTCATAGGAATATCACATTGTAAGTGGACTTTTTACGAGAAATACTGAGAAGACTGTGAACCATCTGCATCGTATATGCTCGGGCTATCTAGTAAATCAACGAGGATTTCATACATAGCGCTGAGCTGAAGACTCGGAGAATCGGAAGAAATAGACTGAACCGGACTACTGGGTCACCCATGTGTTTTGAAGAAGGTGGAGAACTGCAGAACAGAGAGGATTGTGGGAGCGGCTAAGAAGCGGACTTGGAGGCCCCCTAAAAGACTAGATGAAATTGATTCCGAAAACTCTCCACGGCGGTGTCAAATCAAGCAGTTCCTGATCCTTTTCGCAGACTCGGGTCCTAATTCCATGATCGTCCGTTTCCGCTCCTCTCCGATTTCCTCAGTCTCCGAGTCAATTTTCGATGTCTTTTCCGCCGATTCCCCCGATTCCGCAACTCTGCCATTGTCCCATTTCGTCAATCAAGCTTGTAAACTTAACGTATGGTGCGCAAATAGTGACCCTTTTGGTGCCAACGTATTTGGGGTGCAGGGGGGGGGAGGGGTGGTAGTGCGGAAGGGAACACTTGATCGCTGTTCTGTCTCGGTCTCAAGAAACTTGTCAACCACCGAGCGTTCTTCCTTGTTCCTTTTTTCTTTCTCTTTCTTCCTTCTTCACTATTTCTGTTTCCTCCTTATTGTTTTCCTCTCTTCGGACAGATAATGGAAAATACTTCTGGACCTTCGCAGCTGGAGAACATCCAGTTTGCCGAAGCCATTAACCCGCTTCTATCCCTTCTTCAAAAAAGCTAAGGCCCATTTGGAGAAGGTATCCAAAGCTCTACAGACGGTTAAACCCCCTCCCAGCGTAAACGACCAGAGTTGCCGAGTGATAGTCCTTAGAGAACAAAACATAGAGCTGCAGCGCATAGCTTCTTTTCACTAATTTCAAGCATTGGCTAGAGGAAGGGAATATGGTAGCTGTTTCAAGTGTTCTCCCCCCCCCCTCCCAAACCACGTTACCGTCCCCTTTTCGGTTGTTTGGCCGTCTCCTCAAACTCTAGGCCTTTGAATGCAGGTTGGTGGGAAATCCAAGCCGGATACATTCTACTACCATATCCAAGTGTGAGCTCAAATTTCCAGATTACATGATGTCTTTCACACTTTGGAAAACAACGGCTGTGATCTTCACATCAATATGGTCGTAGAGAAATGTGATTGGGATCTTTACTCTTTTCTCAAGGATATTCCTCGTGACATGCCAGATCACCAGTGTAGACTTATAGCAAAGCAGGTTCGCTTTATCGTTTAGACTGGTTTCATCCGTCCCGACTCGGCCTTTTGGAGAATCAGCGTTTCAAGCGAATCGTCTTCCGGGCACCGATCGAAAACCAGTGCCATCCTTTTCGTGCAGAACGCCGACTCTCTCATAACACTGAGTCACAGAGTTTGGACGCAGCTTTACTGTGCCACGTCATCGATGCTTTTTTTAGATTTTCGAAGGTGTCGACTTTTTGCACAGTAACAATATCGTTCATCGTGATTTGAAGCCTCAAAACATTCTCATTAATCGCGACCAAACAGTAAAGATAGCGGATTTTGGCTTGTCAAGAACTTACACTACTCAGAGTTGTTTTACAACAGTGGTATGTTTTGCTTGAACATTTCCCTTCTGAAGATTTCTCATGATTATTCGTTCATGGTAGAACTTGTCGTCATCGAATTGATTGTCATCACTTAGGTTGTGACTCTTTGGTACCGAAGCCCAGAGCTACTTCTACAGTGCAGTTACAACACAGCTGTAGACATTTGGGCTGTTGGATGTATAGTGAGTGAACTCTACCAGAGAATTCCGCTGTTCCCTGGGCAAACAGAGGCTCAACAGCTCAGTATCATTTTCCAGTGAGTGGACTATGTGTTACAGTTTTTTTTCCTGTTGTGCCTCGGAATCTACTCAGACTCTTCTAAATAGAAGTTCACTAAATTGCGTATTGAACAACTCATTCACTTAACATAATGTTCCTCTTCTGAAGGAAAATGGGAACGCCTCGGTCATCGCTATGGCCTCATGATGCTGTTGTTGAACGTTCAAACTACCCCTCATATCCTGCACAGCCGCTAGAAAGGTAAGTCTGCTAAGACTTTTTTGTTGATAAGTTTTTAATTTGCAAACAGAGAGCTCTACAGAGTTGCACGCCTTTGAAGAAAATATACTTCTACCCACATTTAGTTGCTCCAGTCTTGCTTATCGATCTCAACTGGTTTTACGCTTCTTTTGAACCGTTATCCTTCGTTATCCACCGCGAATTTGCTTGTGAAATAGCATCCACAATTTACAAGAAAAAATCTCAGAAACATAACTAGAACGAAATTTGTCGGCACAAGTCACTGTCAGCAACCAGTTTTCTTATTTATGTTTTTGTCTTTTCCTCGAAACCATTATCGCGCATTTCTTTGATGTATTCGTCTTATGTTATCATTAGGTCTCTGCCTCTTAAGTGCAACGCTCTTTGGACTTTGGAAAATCAATAGTGTCAGGTTCTCATTATTGCTCTTTTTTTGCATCTAGAAGTATCACCTGGTGCCTATTGATACTCACAGTGAGAGAACAAGTGCAGATGGGGTGTATTGTGAACTTTTTATCGATTCTGTTTAATGGTAGCACCCCTAACGATTCACAAAGTGCTAGTTGAACACTACACATGCCAACAAATGCATATATTACAGAATCCTTTAGTTTCGATAGTCTTGAATGCACTTATTAAAAAATCTTTCGTCGGGTGGAAGGGTAATTTTTTTGGGTTCACGTTCCCATGAAGAACATTGCCTTTAAAACTCATTTTTACTTTGAGAAGAAATGATCATCTTTTTTCTCGTTTCATCTCCTTTCTTTCTTGGTACTGTTCTTGGCTCCCCAGATATAAGTCAGCCGCGTAGCCTCCCTCCTCCTTCCATTTTTGTTCGTCCTTTCTTTTCCTTCCTCCACTCTCTTTTCCATCTTCCTTGTTTTCCTCCCTTCCGTTGTTCGACTAGAAGATGCAATGTGAAAGCACTAGAACCCTATTTTTTAGAGGATACTGCTTTGCCTTCAATTATTTATTCAATTGCTCAGATTGAATCCAAGACTGCCCGCCGATGCAGTACCAGTGATCAGTGGTTGTTTGACGTTCGCAACGGAACAACGCCTTACCGCTCGAGAAGCACTTCGCTTGCCGTTCTTCAGTCAAGTGGACACGATACGAAAGTAGTTTAGTTGTCTGTTTCTTTCGTCTTGCTATTTATCCTTATTTTTCTCGCCACTTTTTCTTGCCAGTTGTCAGCTTTTGACAGGTTCTATGCTGCATTCCTTGATTTTTTTTGTTGGCCTTATTGCATTTGACTTTCGGAATTATTGCCTTTGACATGTCCTTCCTCTTGTACTGGACCTCTTGTTTCCCCGTTCCCTCATAAATCGGAGTGATTCGTTCCATTAATAGCTTTCACTGACAAACGTATCTCATCAGTTTTTATAATGTTCGTGCCTAGCAACCCTTAGGTTTGCTCAAGTTGTTTTAGGTTTCGATTGTTATCGTTTTTTTCTTGTTCATTCGTATGCTCGACTTTATTTCTGTACATAGTGAATAAACCTCTCTCTTCATAAGGATCCGATTATTAACGCTCGTTCGTTTCGGGTTATCTTCACAACCGTGCAATGCTAGTAGTTTCCAATTTAAGTGCGTTTTCAGATGCCTAAGACGGTAGGGCTGATACATCGCTCATTATTAATACTTAGAGGATCGGACTCGTTGAATTTTTTGCAGGGTCTAGTCACAAACGATGTTAGGTATGTAATTTGAATTTAAAATTAAGTTTTTTTTTCACCGTCACACTAGTTCATGGCAGCTTCTGCGATTTTTTTGGCTGCCTGTTTATAAAGTGGAATGTTCGACCTATTAGTCGTCATCAGACGCCTCGAACTGGTTAGACATTGGTCTGTGTGTAAACAAGCAGATGACTTTTCCATTGACTATTTAGACTAACAATACCATCAGTCACTACAAGTTTTTGATAATCAGAACGCAGTTGATTCTTTACTAGTAGTTTATAGTATGTTCAGTTTTCTAATTTATTTTTCAGAAAAGTCCAGTCATCACAGGGAATTGCTGCCTTCCTCCTCAACCTTAAAGGAAGAATAGTAGATGACATTTTGATATCGCGGGATGATGGCGACATTTTTGTGGAGTGTACAGCGTCGAACCAGAAAAATCTGAAGGATCTGTTGCTGAAGTACCGCATGCGAAAGAACGTAAGGCCTTTCAGTGATGTTATTCATATTCAACATTATTAGTGTCTTTCTCTAATTTAGTGATATGCTTGTTGAATCAAGATGCCGATGTGGCTGTCACGACACATGAATTCCCGAACTCATTCCCTGATCCGAGGTGCCCCTCTTTAGGGAGGCGTCTCTACGGTGATAATGGGAATGACGAAGTCAGTGAATATCATGACAAACGAAGAGTGCTGGGAATCGCCGAAGGTTGCGATGAATGGGCGGACTCCTTCCTTTCCATGTAAGCCGTTCATATCTGCATTTTGGCTGTTGTTCATAAGGAATGTTGTTATATCATGATAACTGCTGTTTAACTCAGTGGTTTGCGTTCCGAAATTTATCTCAAAGCTCGCGCTCTCTCGCGAATAGACGTTGTAAGTCAGGCGAAACTCAACCATTTTCACATGCTTTCGCTCACCATGCTCTATCCCGTTACTGTTTGTCCCTTGGAGTAAATTAAGGCATAGCGGATATCTTATTAGAAGATCATGTAGATATTGAAAACTAGAAAAACGACCGTTGTTATTACTGCTCTGAATGGTTGAAAAGTTCCAGTCAGGCTCAGAGCAGTTACGCAATATGCGTTCTATGAACCAAAGATTGTGTAGGCGCTATATCCACTTACCGTCAGCAGGTGAGATCATCGCTGCCCCCAACAGTTACGCACACCAAGGTAGCTCATACCTCTGTCTTGCGCGACCTTTTATGATAGCCGCCCCTCTGCCCAATAAGCGGAGAGGATGGCTGAGTGCAGTCTCGCCCGAAAGTTAGATTTTTTGGGCCATACCTCGCATTTTCCGTTGTGATAATCTATTTCGCGATCAGTCTTCTTCAAAACTATCGTTGTAGTGGTGTATGTGCGACTGTGAGGTGAACGAGTGACTGAATGCTCGATGATAACATAGGTTGTTCCTGGTTCCGGTTTGCTGCGGCTCTGCCTTTGGGTCGTCATTCAATTTAACGTGCTCCGCATAATTGTTCTGTAGAAAGCAGTGGGTAAACTAGAAAATTAGAATACTATTAGCTGTCCGCATAAAGTTCTTTATACACCTTGTTTGATCTCTCGCCTGTTTCGTATCGCAGGATTTGGTATTTTACGTTCATCAATTCTGCGTCGACGTGTACATTTATACTCTTTCATTTAACACTGAGCTATTCACTCAACCGCGCTGTGCATTTGCAGTACACAATGTCGCACAATTTGCACTGTGACAAAACGTACCTGCGCCACTGTTTGGTTTTGCTCCACGATTTCGGCTGGAATGCAAAGGAAGCCCATACCAAGCTGGTGGATACATCTCTTACATGACATGCAAGAATTGGTTCGCCAAATTCAAGAAAGGAGACTTTTCTCTCGAAGATGCTCCGAGGGGGTCGGCCGATGGAGTTGGATTTGGAAGTACTACGTTCCACCGTGGAGGAGGACCCGTACCTCACCACCAGAGAAATGGCGACCATGCTTAGCTATGATCATTCGACGGTTGCACGTGGACTAGAAAAGCTCGGCAAGGTAGCAAAGCTTGGTCGATGGGTCCCACATGAACTGTCCGCTTATGACCTCTCGAGGAGGGTGACCACCTGCACTTCTCTCACTTTCCAAAAACAGATTCCAAAAGCTTCACTTTCTCAACTCGATGATCACTGGAGATGAGAAGTGGGTCCTCTACGATAACCCTGTGAGGAAGCGGCAGTGGGTCGACAAAGGAGAACAGCCAGAAGCCACCCCAAAGGCCGACCTTCACCCCAAAAAGGTTCTCCTGTGTTGGTGGTCCAGAAGAGGCATGGAGTACTGGGAGCTGCTGGAGAAGGGACAGACGATTGACGCTTCCACACGTGACCCAGCTGCGGAAATTGAAAGATCACGTCGACCGTACTCGTGGAAGGAATGCGGAAATCTACTTCCACCATGACAACGCCCGACCTCACACTGCAAAGGCGACCCAGGCCGAGCTGGAGAAGTACGGATGGCTGATGGTCGCCCACCCTACAGCCCTGACCTCGCTCCTTCTGACTACTGGCTGTTCAGCCACCTGCAGCGCTATCTGGACGGAAAAAAGTTCGAAACAAAGGATCAGGTCAGAAAGGCGCTCGACGACTTCTTCAAGTCCCAGCCTCCGTCGTTCTGGAAGGATGGAATCGACAAGCTGCCTGAGCGCTGGCGTCGAGTAGTGAATGGTGATGGTGCATACCTCTAATCTCCAGGCTGGTTCGTTTTTTGAGATATTTACAAAAAAGTCGTGTATAAGAACTTATGCGACAACCTAATACTTTACGATTAGTTTATGTTGACTAAGAAATACACTGGAAAACACTGCTCAAGACGTTACTGAGTATAATTGATCGGTGAAGCGCGTACGATTCTATTAGACCTTCCTTGTCCACGGATGATGCTTTGTTTATAGCTCTGCGTGAAGTCGAACGTAATGTATTACCACAGAGCGGTCCACATTCACGATGCATGACAAGAATTAAGTTATTTTTGATTGGTTTCAGTGCTGCCCCGATCATCATAAAAGTAGTGGTTCTGTGGTCGGTTACCTAACTATTACATTTGGATAGGATGTAGTTGATGAAGTTCGCGCCTAGTCCTCAGCTGCTAGCTTATGCTGCAGTTACTGTTCAGTCGCACTAAGCAACTTTCTGGATTTTTTTTCACCTGGAAAGCTGGTAGACTCTAACGTCCAATCTGTGCAAATTTCAGGCGAATGGTGACCTGCTGAATATGATATCCTTAGACAAAGGCTGCTATATAGGGCAAGAGTTGACAGCTCGAACTGCTCATACAGGTTGGGCAATTCGTCAGCAGACGGTGTTTACCTTTATTCTCTGTAATGTGGAATGAAATTAAGGAGTTATCCGGCGAAGGATAGTGCCGTTCAAATGCGACAAAAATGTAAAAGGAACGGTTATGCAAGGCGATAGAAAAGTCGGCGAGGTATCGTTTTCTTTTTTATTTGTTTTGGTGTCACCTATATATTACCTATGTTCGTTGAGGTGATCTCCTGTGGAAACGGACACGGTTTGGCTCTGATAGTATTAAACGCATTTGGACAAGCGCTTAGCGTAGAGGGATCTCCAATTGTTGTTTTCAAGCCATCGTGGATGCCGGAATCGGCCCTAAAAGCCAAGGAAAGGTGATAGAATATAAACGGTGTTGTCTGTTTGCTCATCCTAGTCATTATTATACCAGTGTGCTGCAATGAATCTCTTCTTGTGACATCATCCAGACGTAGTCTTCATAGTAATGTTAAAGATATCTCAAGGACCTAAAACGAGATTAATTTCAAGTGTTTCATGGAAGTACTGGTATCATTTTTTAGTGTTTTGTGAATATACCGCTTAGAGCCTTCCATGGCAATGAATGAAGTTTGCTTAACAAATTGTTCGTGCAGATTTATGGGTTGATTCCTGCTAAATTACTAGGTCTTGTGAAGTGTATGATCTTTCGACATAATAACTCTTCTGAGGCTCTCCTCTTGACAACTGGACAACGGAGAATCCATTGAGTTTTCAAAAAAGTTTCGAGTCCTTTATACGCATTCTAGTTGGTGCAGGGTGTAGAAGGGGGTGCGATAGGCCCTGGTCTCGCTGTCCCTTTCCTTTTCGTCAATGCTCAGATCAATATTAGTCAAATTTATTGCTTGTGGGCACCTCCATTCTGAATGTGGCACAGAAATTAGCCCATCTCTTCAGCCGCTCTCGAGCAGTGTGGGCCTCGTGGACTCCCCGCGGTCCTGAATGGCAAACTTGCAGCAGGTTTCCACCATGCTTGCCGTGAAAGTGCGTGTATGCACTGATTGCGAACTAAGCTTACCGAATTGTGAAGTTCATCGGACCAACTGGCTCATCACGAATCGTACTCCTAACCATAGATATTCCTCTTGGAGTGCGTCAGACTGTGTCATAGTGCCTTCATACTTCGCGACTACTCTGCCACACGCTCGCCGGCGTACTCACAATACGCTGGATCCATACCTATGGTTTCGTAGTCGCTCAAAACGCGGCCGTGTTTTTAAAAGCTGACGGAAAGTATGAACGCACTCTTACTTCTTGTTAGTGCTGTAGTAAGGAAAAAAGGAAGTGTTAACCAAGACAGGGATACTTTAAACCATGAGTAAGAGTTCAGCTGCAACTTTGCAAATTGTTTTGTTCCTTAAAGAATCTCATAAGTCAGTGGACGTTTCGCGAAGTTAGTCAAAGGTAATAATAGTGCTACGTGCTCAAGTTGCAGAAAATGTCAACAAAGCATTTACGGCGACTGATTGAAGAAAAGGAGCAGGAGCAGGCTAAGGAAGAGCAAGAAGAAGAAGAGGATCTAGTACCGCAGAGAAGTGGACCAGTGAACCGCTTCGCTGCATTCGTAGGTGAGTCATCAGGCATAGAATTGCATATAGTGGGACACAGGGGCATTATGATTAGCAGTGATTGTATCGTAACTTTTGAAGTGGTGAGTGGGTTTGATGTCTGATGAAATTCGAGAACAAGTGATTTTCGTGTATCTCCTAAACTGTGTTCGTTCGTTTGACTATACTTTTTACAGCGCAGAAACTTTTAGGAAGGTCACAGTAGAAACGGTCCCAACGAGCAGATTCATTTCGCGAGAACATGTGAAGGTGGTTAGGATTCTGAGAAATCGGCTCATTATTGTCTGACGTCTGGCCTGGTCCCATATTCTGATCGCAGTTACAGTGGTCCTTTAGTCAGATACCGACTGCAGTTACAGTGGTCCTTTAGTGTCAGTTGATCCAGCCATTTCATAAACCAGTCCACATCAAGTGGTAGTTCAAACTGAACAAGATTCCCCCCCCCAGTGCGTAAACAAAAAACTTTCATGATGCAGTACTTTTGAAGAGTTGAAGAGAATCGTCTTAATGATGACATAATGAAACGACCAATAATTCCCTAACTACCTTCTCGTTCATGCTGACAGCAGGTCTCGGCAATGCAGCAGTGATTGTCGTGGGCGGCGATTCCCATTGAGGTTGAGTGACCCTTACTAGGCGTCGTAACCTGCACCCGAGAAAAGCTATACTGTTTCAACAAAACATCTGTTCTGATCTATTGCTTGCACTTTCTTGAGCAGAAGAGTAGAAGCAATCTTGAGTGGAATTTCTTTTGAAACCCTAAGGAATTCCAGTTACTTCTGCCAAACGAGGTTTTTAGATGACACCTTTATTGGCCTACGTTTCGACCTTCTCGTCTTCTTCAGAGGCCTGAAAATGGCTCGAAGCTTTTAATTTGTTACCTACCCGACCAAGCGCCTTCCCCACTCCGAGGACGTGCCCCGAACGACTCCGAGGAACCCGGCAATAAGCTGCAAACTACTCACCAAGGTTCCACCGTGCGGAGCCTAGCTCACGCAATGTGTCAGTAGGATAAGTAACAATTTTGACTTATGTAACACGATGAGGCTCTAGTGAGAGTTGAGATTTTCTCAGCATTTTTCTCAAGAGCTGTATATGATCCTTGTACGTTGATTTGTTTATTACATAGACAATTCGTCCTTACTTATCCTACTGGCACATAGCGTGAACTAGGCTCTGCACGGTGGAACCCACAGTGAGTAGTTCGCAGTTATTACCGGGTTCTTCGGAGACGTAAGGGAAACGAGGTCGGAAACGCTAGAGTGGGGAAGGCGCTTGGCGGGTAAGTAAGAAATTAAAAGCTTCGAGTTTAGGGCCTCTGAAGAAGACGAGAAGGTCGAAACGTCAGGCCAATAAAAAAGGTTTCATCTAAACAACCTCGTTTGGCAGAAGTAATTAAACATTCGACATCATGCCGACTTTACAAGAAGGGATATGGAGATTATTGGAAACCCCAAGGAGTTTTCTTGGTCAACCACCTGGCAGTGCTGCAGTTCTCGTCGGCAGCTGATGTCCTGCGTTCTGTTATGCCAGTTAATTTTTTGAATCGTCATCTCACTGGCGTGGGAACGGTTGCTCCGCTCGTTGATGTTGAGGGGGGATGATACAGATGACGCCGAGATCCACTTTTCTATTCAAGCGATTCAGTGGAACTTAATCGATTTTCAATATCATTTTTTTGTCTTGCCTTGTTTCTTTAGAGTGGTCTTGGTTTTGCTACATCGCAGAGGTTGATGATCTGAATCTTTTTTTCAGATGACGGAGATGGCTCCGGGAAAAGTGATGCAGAGGAACTCCAGCCGAGCGCAGATCGCGATACGGTTCCCCAATCCAATAAAGCAGAAGAACGAAAAGGGAATAAAAAGAAAAGAAAACAGCAGAAGAAAAAGCAGGTGGAAGAAATGGATGAGGAGCAGCTACTGGAACAGCTCGCATTGGAGGTGAGTTCCGAACAACTAGGAATAATTCGGCTTAGCAGCGTATTCCTAATGTCATGGCTACCATAGGCATTGGTCGAATGCTTGTGATTTGAGAACCCCTTGTGTCACAGGGATTTATGACAGATGTGAACATTTTCCGAACACAGCTCTGAGGATTCCGATTAAGTGTAGAGCAGGCTCAGATTTGTTGCCTATACATGAATTCGGTCCGTGTTAGCAACGAGTACAGAGGTTTTACGAGCCACTGGGTGTTGATCAGGTGGTTAAGCCTGATCCTCGACTCTTTGATGCAGCTGCAGAGCTTAAGAGAGCGCTTGGAAAAAGTTTCAAGGTAGGCAGCTACCCTGATTTCAAAATTTCCCGATATTTGGGATCTTCGGTCCCCATTTCGACTAGATAAACTGCTCCAGTACGAATCGTTCCCATCGTACAGCTAACAAAGCGGGAAAACTCGTTAAGCAAAAGCACACGTGGCCGCCTATTAGGAGCATAGGTGAGCTCTTGCCTTGTCTTTAGCTTTCAGATTTGGAATTTGACCCACTGATTTATAACTTGATTTGCATTTCCAGGTTGTCTATGGAAGCTAGATTTTAGGGGAGAAAGGCCAAGAGAAATGGTTCAAGTTCGTGCATAATTCGCATTACGAACAACTCGAAAGGTTTGGTTTTCCTACATTGAAAGGACTCGCCAATGGCGCCTGCTTGTCGACGGAGGGGGCATTTTTTACTATCATTGCTTCCTTAGTTCCGATTTACCCGTGTTCTCGACCTGGCGAAAACTCTGTTGAACGTCTTGTGAAGCTGGAACAAGGTCGTCAAGTCATTGTTAAAATCTGTCACCCCCGGTAAGAGGCTGTTCTGGACAATCCGACACCAATCGATGGGAAAAGGCAAAAAGTGAAAATGCCCCCCCCCCTGTCGAAAAACTGCGCGCCCTCGCCAATCTTGACAAATTTGGGAGCCTGTTTACTATGATTTCCAATCTACTAATGTAGTCTGGCAGAGCTGGCAGCTTTATGCGCTTCTCTTCGTTGTGCGACATAGAAGTTTGTAAAAGCGGTCAAAGTTTCCAAAACCCGTGCTAAGACGCGCTGTTGCACTTTTTTTCGCCATTGCCAAAGTCAATGTTCTGGCAAATACTCGCGAGCGCGCTATTCTCGGCGGAACTTGAAGCATCACTGTATGTTGTAATGTTCGCAAAATGTGCCCGCAGTGCGACATTGAAGAGGTTTGTTAGCCGCATATTAAAGTTAGTAATTTATATTTCTCTTGACTGACCTGTACGATAAGTTGCGATGATTCCATGACTCTTTGACTGGGTGGCTGAAGATTCACTTGAATCATAGATAGATCGGATGAAATACTTACTGACAATCAGCTATCACTTGGAATTCCGTTCTCTGGCTGGGCGAAGCATTGTTCGAAAATGCAGGAGGATATCACTCAGTCTTGTGATTTAATAGGTTGGTTTTTTGTGCAGTTTACTTAGAAGGGAAGCGAAAGTGGTCGAAAGTAGTGTAGTTGCATGCGAAAGCTCAGAGTTAACTTCCGGGGTTGATATTGGCCTGAGTCTTATTCTGTGGCCCTGAGTCCGTCACAATGGATGCTGAGCGAATACGCACATTCAATAAGCCACTTATACGACTTCGAGGGGAGTTCAATGCGTGGTTTATTCACGCAAAGTAATTAGACTTCCAAAGCAGAGTGCCTTTACGCTTCTGATGCATTTTTACTTTTATAAGGGATCTTGACCCCCGTGTTTATCGACGTCATAGCACCAAAAACTCAAAGTTGTCGTACTTAGAAGTCCGCCAACTACCATGGAACTTGAAATGGAAGACCTGGATCGATAAGGGTCTGGTTAAGGACTTATTCCACAAATTACAGATACCGCAAAACTGCCAGCCTTGCATTTCACAGCACTTAGTGAGCAGGTAGTTTGTAAGTGGTTGCATGTGGGGTGAATGGCTTGTTGTGGGTCTATGAATGCCTATAAAGCGGAGGTAAATCGGCATACATCGATCGCCGAGCTTCGTCGAACGTCGAACGTTACCACTGAACCACCACGACTCGATTCGACGTATGCGATTCCTCGCTTATGCTTCACAGCTCACCACCAAGCCTCCACCCTACTGCACCATTACAAACTTTACCTGCTCATAAGTTGCTTGTGAAATGCAGGTTGCAGTTTTTTGCATCTATATTTGTAAATAACCTTATAGACTCTATCGATCTACCCAGGTCTCCATTCAAAGTTCCATGGTAAGTTGGCGGACTTATCTGGTTGAGATCAATTACTGAGATTTAAGAGCGGGGAATCTTTTACTGCGAGCAAGCAATGGCGAGCACGTTCCATCCGAGTTCGTTTTATCATCGCGTAGACTACTTGGACTACGAGAATAGAGCATTTTATCTATTGCTGCATCGACATATGCTGAACTGCATTCATAAACGGTAAGTTGACTGGTTAATATGTTCTTTAAAAATGGAGAAATGTTCACCTGACTGTAGTTTTTGTGGTGAAGACAGCTGGCCAGCTGAAGGCGGTGATTGTCACATGTATTCTCTGCCCTTTTGACCAGTTTCCTCACGTTTTGAAGAGCTACAGTTTTTACGTACCTTGCCGAAAAGAGATTAGGGAAAGAAAATGGCAAAAAAAACTCACGTCTTCAAATGGTTTGTTGTGCTTCCCATCGAAGTGTGCCACTAATCTCTAAGTTTCGGTATCTTATAGATGTTTCGAAACGGCACTCAACTATGCGAAACTGATACTGACCATGGATCCTCAAAGTAAGAGAGATTATAATTCACAATTTCATTCGAACAAGAACTTGGCTGGCGTAAATCAT